TAAACGTTTCATTTATTTTGCTTTCTTCCTCCTTAGCCCTAGTGTTCATTTACTTGGACATAAACGGCTTAATATCTGACGATCATTAATTATGTTTCTAGCACTTTGTTTCTAATGAAAATTCAACATTTCGTTTTGCATTCTTCCGTCATTTTTCATGATAGAAATGATAATTCTAAAAAAGAACAAAACGCAACATCAATTGGTGAAAAAAATGCTAGACCCGACATTTCAGAAGAGCAGTGAAGTTTATTTAAGTATCAGGTTTAAAGGAGAAAATACTTTGAATAGTAGTCGGAATTTAACGTGCATTTCTGTTTTAAGAATGCACGATCATGTGGAAAATAACAAAACCGTTACAATATGTTTGCAGATTTTTTTCCAATTAAACTCATAATTCTAATTTCGCCTAAATTGATCAAACTATTTATCAAACGAATATCATGCGAATTCATATGACGTCATGTTTATTGATCGCCATATATCACATCAATTATCCGTCATGCAAAAGGAATTGCGTTTTAATAAGTTTTAACGTGCGCTTCAATACAGTTATACACTCATACGTACACATATAGTTAGGAAATGTAATGCAATAATAAGATAATTTTCTAATAAAAAGTTTACAGATCAAAAGAAATACCATCTATACAACAAAATAAATTAAACTTGAACTTTGTGTTATTGTTAATATACAGAATCCTCTTAATTTGAAACTTTATTATAGTATCATGAAAGACTTTAAACTATGTAAAAATCTGAAAAAAGTGACCCATCGGGAAAAAAAAGGTAAAACAAAGTATGAATGCAGAAAGACCAAGTTTAAACGAAATAATTCCTGTGGTAACATCGATATTTATCAACATTCAATGTAAACCGGAAGTAATGGAGCCTGTACCATTCAAGTCCAGTGAATGTTATTCAAGGTTGTCTGTTACTTGCAGAAGATATATATCTATCAATCAGCATTTTAACGAATGCCACTTAATCATCAACTCAATATTATAAGTTTGTTATAAGAAAGTAATTTAAACACCCTGTAATTGAAGTTGTATTAGTTGATTAATTAAAACATCTTCAAGCAATCAATTGAGGCAGATAATTTTCAATGACGTCACTATAAAAAAATGGAAATATAAACACATATAGAACAAATGGAATGACATACTTCTTCAAATCCCTCCAGTGGCGTGCTTGTCGCGGAGAAGGCACACAACAGGTCAAGGTAAAATCACTTTAAGTACCAGAGAGGATTGGTTGACCTGTCGTGACTAACTCTGGAGGGTTGGCGTCCACAAGGGTCGTTTTTGTTATCGTTAGTCGGAAAGCTGATACCTTGGCAGTATTGTCGACTCTTTCACCACCACTGAACGAATGAAGGGCTACAGAAGATTTAACATGAAAAAGACGTCCCCGATGAGACCACCATAGTGGACCGGCAAGGATGCTACATTCTCGGACATATTGTTAATTCCGGCGCCGTGTATAAATAAACTCAAAAACAAACAAAAACGGAATGTCTGCAGTTTCTTTGTAAATCACGTTAAGCTGGAACAAATGCAACTATAACTTAGTTAAAACTTCTTACTTCATGTACATATAAGAACCATCAAACATGCTTTAAAACTATTATTTAAACGTTTTACAATTATTCTATGCCATTATTTATTCGTTCCAAAGGCATAAAGGCATAATGCGCCTTTAATGTGATATAGACATATTCATCATTTCTGATAGAAAAACAAATAAAGTTGCCTAAATTCCTGGGGTATAATGAAATTTATTATTTTCTCTACTGCAGAAAATAAGCATTTCTTGATATCGCATTAAGCAAATAAACCATCACAAATCCTGATATATATCAATGTTTATTATTCTCCCATATTGTCTAATAATACGACAGGGCAGACAGACTTTCAACAATAGATTGATTTTTTATTGCAGACGAAAAATATTAAGAAAATGTATTTCGAAGTACCAGACTTCAAGATTCCTCGAAAAGATTTTTCTTTTCAACAGACATGATTTGTCTTCTTTCTTCATCCTTGCGAGGTAACTTTCCACATGGTCGTGCATTATTAACAAATTTGACAGAAAAGGAAGATAAACAGCGTAAAATATGCTAAAATAGAATCTTTTTTATTGTGTTTGACTATTTATTGCTACTGTTTTTCGTGCGCGTGTTGTTATAATTCTGTTGGGTGTGTTTTATCTTATTTTGTTTTCTTATTTGGTTAGAAAGATCTATTCCTGAAATTCTGAAATTTACGACAATTGAACGCATGATAACTGTAGACGAAAACAAAAACAAATTGCTTAAATATAGATATAACAAAAGCTTCTAATAAAAAAAACTGAGGATTATTAAGAATGTTTAACCCTTGGTTTATATATTTTATTGTTAAGTCATAGGTGGCAGCAAAACAGTGTATGTCATATGGCGACTTTTTAGCTATACTGGTGGATAAGACATCAGGTGCTCGTCCGTGCATTCTTTCAGGCACGAACAGGGACCTGAAAACTGACGACGTTCCGTAAGCTAGATGGATAGCTTCCTCACATGAAAAATTCAAAATCCCTGTCGTCGGGATTCGAATCAACAGCAGTGAGGGGCGAGGGGCTGACTTTTGTTGATAAATATTTTGTAACAAAGGTAGTTTTCGGTGAAAACATCGGATTTATTTTTCTTAGTTTTATCGTCGTGGTTCTTACTTTGGCATAAGTAATAATTCTGTCAGATTGTTTGTGCTATACATATAATAGATTATTGTACATTGTGTATTGACGTCAAATACAAGGTATCTTCTAGCAAAAATAGCATTCAGATAATTACAAGGGTTGTTTTGTATCTTCATTGTTGCTATAAAGTGTGGTATAAACATAATACGATTTAATAGAGGTTAACTTGTCTATATAATCTGAGATATAGAATCTATCATAGGGCTAGATAGAGGATAGGGAAATCCCAACCCGAGGGAGACCGGTTCTATCGGGAAAGAGCCCTGGCTTTGGCGCCTGACTTTCTATGGTTGACAAAAAGCATTTTACTGTCAACAAAAAAAATATACTGATCCAGTTTATGTGTCGAAATATTGAAAATATTGAAAATAAATTTAGATGAGATTGTCACCAAGAAAGGTTATCGTGATAAAATACCTAAAACGGAAATGTTATAATAAAACTGTTTATAAGGAATTCAGTCTATACTTCAATGGTTGACAAAAGTGATTTACCGTTTGCAAAGATTTAACTACTGATTCAGTTATTTTGGCCAAATATTCAATTAAAATACATTAAAATGAGATTAGACAGCAAGAAGCATCGTTATCATTAAAGAAAACATGGGTGATTTCCAGTTAAAGTGTCATAATATCCGAGTTAACGAAGAATTTCGCGAAATTTTAGTGATCGAGTGCTATTTTAAGTAACAGATTGATAAGGAAAACGTCGGATCTAGGTCGAAATGAGGTAAGCTATCATAGAATTATTCTAACGATCCGTGCAAGGAGTGTAGTGTCTTAAAACTTCCCTTTCTTATAGTTTTGCCTTATACACAATACGTAAAGCAACCTACACAGTACATGGAAATGTAAACATTACATTAAGAATATGCATGTATATGAAGATCTTTGAAACAAACTGAATATAAATGACTACAAAGGAATTCAAAATATCATAATCGAAATAACTTTGTCTTCAAACTATGTATGGCGTTGACAAATTCTAGGGCTATTCCACGATGCTCTTTAAGTAACCTTTCAGTATTTCTTATTTACAATGTACGCATTAGACTATGTTTGTCTCAAAAGTTTACGTAATACTTCAATGGAATAAAAACAAATCGGCCTACGTAATGTTCACTAATCTATGCATATGTAAATTGTGTATTTCAACTTTCCATGCAAATATTCATACATTGGTATACGCAGCTGAGATCACAAGGTAGCTATGCATAATACATGCATTGGTGTTAGTCTTTAAGTTTGGAAATGCCTGTAAAACTTTTTTTCACTTTTGATGAAACCCGTCGTTCCCTGGTGTTTTTACAACAATTTAATTGTTGCATTTGATCAGATTTTAAAAGACATGCATTCATGCTATAGCTGTCGCAAATAGCGAGTGTATATATACAATTAAGTTATCGGAGTCAGTTGATGACCCGTTGAGTCAAGACTCCGTCGGAACATGAAAGAACTCCGTCAGAATCCGTCGGAGTCGATACTTAAATATTTCATGTATCACGAGTTTCATGCTATTTTCAGGTTAATTGTTACCTATATAAAGGGAATGAAATGGGAAGCCAGGTGGTTAGTTTGGGATTATTTTAGTTGAGTTTAGTTGTGTTAAGAGAAAATTACATGTGAGGATTATTCGGGATATTGTCTGTAAAATAAAATAAAATAATTGGATTATAAAATAAAGAAAGTTAACAAGAAATTATTGTGTTTTACTTAAAATAAAATAAATTCCAGTGTGGCAAAGAAATAGAATTCTACAGTCCTAAAACTGAAAGTTATTAAACTTCGCCACATTGTTTGGTCCCGCGAACCGGATAACATTCAGTGGATACAATAAGTGAAGGAGAGTGCTTTTAATAAGAATTGTGATTTGGATATTGTTCAGTGAAGAATTGTTTGTTATCTTAGGATAAATTTATTTGGTGAGTGTGACTTCAACTAAAACTAAAAATGACTAAAGTTAAACATTTAAAAGGTGTTAGGACAAAATTTAGAAATATTCTGCAGAAAAATATTGATTTTGGAAACGATCTGATAAGTATTGATATCGAAAGCTGTAATATTGAGAAAAATGTGCTGGAAACAAATAAATGTATTCAAACTTTAAAAGTGTATTGTGAAAAAATAGAAGTTCAAAGTGAAAAATTGGCAGCAGCAATCGAAGAAGGTGATTCAAAAGTAATTGAAACAATTACTGAAGAAGATTGTGAACTGTGTTCTGAAGCTGTAGAATGCTCTATAAATCTACAGCAGTTTAAAGAAATGCTTCTCAACGAAAAGGAGAAGAGCGAAATGAAACATGTTAAAAGTGAATCAAGTGTAGAAACACATTCAGATGAGTTTATTGCACTACACAAGGACATGCAAAAACTCATGCAGCTACAAATTCAACAACAAGAAAGACTACTGGACATTGAAGTAAACAAAGGTAAACATTCTTCTACAAAATTACCTAAACTAGATTTAATATCATTTGGAGGAGATAAGACAAAATGGAGTGAATTCTGGGATTCATTTAAATGTTCAGTGCATGAAAATCACTCACTTTCAAATAGTGAAAAATTCAATTATTTACGAAATAAAGTCTTCGGAGATGCTCAACGTGCGATCTCAGGTCTAACATTATCGGACGCTAATTATAAAATTGCAATCGATATCTTAAGGGAAAGATTTGGAAAAGTGCAAGAAGTAGTTGACTTACATTACAATAAATTAATCAATTTGGAGCCAGCATCGAATAAAACCGGAAGTTTAAGAAGCTTGCTCGATACAGTTGAAAGGCATTTACGCAGTCTAGAAGTGTTACATCAAGATATTGATCAAGCTGTGTTTGTGTCAATGATACGAGCTAAACTACCTGAGGAAGTTCTTGTTCAGTTAGAAATATTAAATGGGTCGAACAATGAGTGGAGTATAGACAAGCTTCGAAAACGATTGAATGAATATATTCTTGCCAGGGAAAGAGCAGAAAAGAAAGATAATGTGTTGGAAAAGAGAATACATGCATCGTCTATTCAATCAGGATACAAGCAAAATTCAGCTCAACTAAGGAGCTATACATATTCAGCTCAGTCAAGAAATAATACAAATTCACCCCAACCGAGGAGTTATTCGAACTCAGCACAATCAAGAAGTTATTCAAGTTCTGCTCATGTGCTTACAGTGAATAACCCTAAGCAACTTACACAAAGACAACAGACTGAAAATTATGCAGATAAATGTCGTTATTGTCAGCAGAAACATTGGAGCGATGAGTGCACACAATGCCGAACTATAAATGAAAGAAAACAGCAATTGAAAGACAGCTGCTTCAAGTGTTTAAAGACAGGTCACAAATCAAGTGAATGTAAGAAAAACAAAATTTGTGCACACTGTGGTGAAGTGAACAAGCATCACAGAAGTTTGTGTCCTCAAAAATTCAAGGTGAAGGAATCAATGACGCATTTAGCAAACGAAGAAACAGAATATAAAGAGACTGAAAATTCTGAGAAAAATGTTCTCGTGTCGTCAAATGAAATGGTTCTAATGCAGACGGCGATTACAGATATTAAAAATCCAGATACCTCTGCAACACAGTCGGTTAGACTTTTGTTGGACTCTGGATCTCATCGGACATATATCACTGAAAACTTAGCAAGAAAGTTACATCTCAAAGTAACGGGAGAACAGGAAATAAAACTTGTAACGTTTGGTAATAATAGTACGCAATGCATCAAAACAAAATGTGCTAACATTGATGTTAAACTGAAAAATGGTGAATACCATTCAATCAGTGTGAACATAGTTCCGACAATAAGTGGCAACTTGCATCGAAGTCCAGCAGGTGTTTTGAATAAGGAGCACGTTAAACATATTATTGGAAGTGTTGATTTAGCTGATACATTACCAACTAGAAACGAAACATCATCAATAGAAATGTTAGTTGGTAACGACTATTATTTGGATTTTATTCTGTGTCAAAAGATCGAACTAAATCCTGGTTTGTTCCTTCTTGGGTCCAAGTTAGGATGGATCCTTACCGGAAGAACTTCTGATCAAGATAGCGATGGCCCATGTATGCTTATTCTAACGCATGGTAATAATGCAACAAATACAAGTTTATTTGCCGATGTGGATAGTGTTGTACCTGTGAAACCAAATTTAGAAGACTTTTGGAATGTGGAGTCAATAGGTATTATAGAAAAACCAAATATTTCAGATGATGAACATGCAATGAAAATGTTTCAGGATACAATCCAGTTTGAAAATGGCCGATACCAAGTCAGGTGGCCTTGGACTGAAGAATTTCCTGATTTACCTGTGAACAGGGACTTGGCAATAGGTCGTTTAAAAAGCTGTGTTAATAAACTAAAAACAAAACCTGAGTTAATGATGAAATATGATGAAGTTATGAGAGATCAGCTAAGTAAAGGTGTTATAGAGAAAGTTGAAAAATCACCAGTAGATGGTTTGGTACATTATTTGCCACACCATGCTATTATCACACCGCAGAAAACAACAACTAAGATACGCGTAGTATACGATGCTTCGGCGAGAACAAGAAAAGAAAACAAAAGTCTAAATGAGTGCATGTATAGGGGACCAGTAATGCTACAGGACCTCTGTGATATGTTACTACGATTCAGGATGCATCCAATAGCAATCGTTGCCGATATAGAAAAAGCATTTTTGCAAATTGGATTAAAACCTAGTCAGCGTGATGTCACAAGATTTCTTTGGTTGAAAGACTGTAAAAATCCTACTGTAGTTACTGACAATATACAAGAATTCAGATTTTGTAGGATTCCTTTTGGAGTAATCAGTAGTCCGTTCTTATTAGGAGCAACGGTAGACTTCCATTTAAAATGTTATGAAAATCCAGTTGCAGAAAATCTAAGAAACAACATTTATGTAGACAATGTTATCACCGGAGCTGAAAACACAAGTGAAGCAATACATCTATATACAAATTCAAAGGCAATGTTTGCAGATGCCTCGATGAATTTACGGGAATGGATTACCAATAGTGATTTTGTAAATGAATTCATTCCAAAGGAAGACAGAGCCGATACGAAAAGTGTTAAAGTACTTGGACATCATTGGAATGTCAATGAAGATACAGTTACAATAGCAGGTCAAAAAAACAAATCAAATGAACCGGAGTGGACAAAACGTACTGTGTTGAAAACAATTTCGTCGGTTTTTGATCCACTTGGCTTGCTATCACCAGTACTCTTACGAGGAAAAGTGTTTATTCAATCATTATGGCAGAAAAATATCAACTGGGATGACAATTTGACTAAAGAAGATCAAGAAAAATGGTTGTTTATTTTAATAGATATTCGCAAAATAGACACGTTGCAAATTCAAAGATGCGTTTGTGCGTTCACAGGACATTCTAAGAAATACTTATTGTTATGTTTCTGTGATGCATCGGAAAAGGCATTCTCAACAGTGATATATTTGCATGTTTCAGAGAAAAATACAACCGATGTAAATGTAATATTTGCAAAGACAAGACTTGCGCCTATTAAGAAACTAACAATTCCTAGGTTGGAGCTTCTAGCAGTTCTGATCGGACTGAGGTGCTTAAAATTTGTTAAAGAGCAATTGAGAGTGCCTATTGAAAAGCAATTTTTATGGACAGATTCGAGATGTGTTTTACAATGGGTTACGTCGGATAAGAAATTACCGTTATTTGTAAAGAACAGAGTCAGTGAAATCAAAGAGCACATTGATGTTAACATGACATACATACCAAGTAAAGAAAATCCAGCAGATGCTGCATCCCGAGGGACAACACTGGAAACATTAGCAACTGACTCTAATTGGTGGCACGGTCCTAAATGGTTGTTGAAGCCTACCTCTGATTGGCCAACCGATTATCAAAAAAACGATGATAGCTTACAAATAGTTGAAATTGAAGAACAAACAAACAAACAAGACAATAAAGAGACAATGTTAATGCAAGCTAAAATTAATGCGGAAGAACATAGTAATAATCCTCCATTTGACATTGACAGTAAAAGATTTTCTTCTCTTACAAAACTGCTAAGAGTAACAGCTTTTGTGTTGCGATTCATACAGAAACTAAAGAAAGTTGAAAGAAAATATGGTTATTTAGAATGTGATGAATTGTTAGAAGCTGAGAACATGTGGATTAAGCATATTCAAGAAACTCATTTTCAAAGTGACATCAATTCTATTCGAGCTAAAAAAGGTACAAATAGACAACAACAATTAGGGCTATTTCTTGACGAACAAGGGTTATTAAGTTGCACTGGAAGGCTTGAAAATACAAATTTAAGTGAAGGTGCCAGACAACCAATACTTCTTCCAAGAAACGATCATTTTACTGAATTGATTGTGGAAAAAATGCATAAACAACTACTGCATAGCGGTGTTTCGCAGACGCTTGCAACAACGAGAAAAAGATTCTGGATTTTACATGGTCGTGCAACAGTGAAAAGAGTGTTAAATAAGTGTGTTGTATGCAGACGCCACGAAGGTGGTTGCTATAAAATGCCACCATTGTGTTGTCTACCGAGGTCAAGAGTGACAGAATCAGTACCATTTTCAAGAACAGGACTAGACTATTTTGGTCCAGTATACTTGAAAACAACAACAGGTGACGAGAAAAAGGCATGGGTATGCTTATTTACGTGCTTAGTAACTCGTGCTGTGCACCTTGAACTAGTTTGTGACATGACCACAGAAGAATTTCTCTTAGGTTACCGTCGTTTCATAGCTCAAAGAGGTACTCCATCGCATATAATTAGTGATAATGCAAAGCAGTTTAAAGCCGCTAGTTTAGTGATAGATAAGATATGGCATTGTATATTACATAGTCATGAGGTTCAAAGCTACTCTGCAAATGCAAACATCCAATGGAATTTTATTATAGAGCTCGCGCCCTGGATGGGAGGATTTTACGAGAGGCTAGTCGGTCTTGTAAAAAGATCATTCAGAAAAGCTGTGGGGCGAAAACTCTTAACAATCATTCAAGCTCAAACACTTATCAAAGAAATTGAAGCCGTAGTGAACTCAAGACCTTTAGTCTATATTGGTGATGATGTAAACTCTACAATTGCATAAACACCGAGTCATTTTCTTACGTTGAATCCAAAGATCGGTATTCCACAAATTTCGGACGAAAATGACAGTGAATATTTGCCAACAGAAAGCTCTTCGGAAAAGTTGTTGAAAATTTGGAAGAAAGGTCAAAAACTTTTAAATAAATTTTGGCAAATATGGAAGAATGATTACTTACTAAGCTTACGAGAAAGAATGCAAACACGTTTGAAAGCAAGTCGTATTCAGTCGCCTGTAAATCCAACAATTGGTGATATTGTTATTGTAAAAGAAAACTTTTCTCGAGGCAACTGGAAACTGGCAAAAATTGAGAAGTTAAATGTCAGTCGAGATGGTACTATAAGATCATGTCAAATTAAATTGGCTTCAGGAAATGTTCTGAATCGTCCAATGAAATTACTTTTTCCCATTACAACGACTCAAAATGATATAGTTACAAAAGAAAAAAGTGATGAAAATGTGCTTGAAGAGCAATTAATACGTTCAAACAGAAACAAAAACAAGATGCAAAGTTATCAGATGTCCGAACGTAATGTACGTTCTGCAGCATCAAAAGCGTTAAAAGCAATTAAACAACAGTTATCCGAATAAAAAGTGAATAGTTAAGGCGGAGTTTTATTAAAAAATGTTCACTTTAACGTTAACGATTGTACACTGTGAATGCTCCGCCGGATATTTGTTTGTTTACGCAAGACTCACATGTACAAATAACCTCAACGGAGCATAGTTACTGTGTAAAATTACCCAAAGTTTTTCTCGCAAAAATCGTGCAAATCATGGAAATAGCATATAAAATAAGAAGAAACTTTGTATTGTGTCATCATTTCACAGTAGACACCTACAGATAAATATTAGAAAAATCGCAAAAATATTAAAATGTATCAATGCGATACTTGTCAAAAGATGTATAAGTATAAGAGAAATCTACTACGACATGTTAAAGAACGACACAGAGAGGTTGAACATTGGAATTGTCCTGTTGAGGAATGCACATCCTAATTCATTCGTCGGGGATATTTGTGCAAACATTTGATACTAAAACATGGCTACACATCATTGAAGTCACGTGAATCTGCTATATCAGCCACCAGAGGAAACGCGTATTCACAGAACTCATACTACGATGACGTCAGCGACGATGATTCTATATTAGATTTATTGTCATACAACGACACACACAACGACTTTGGGCCAGTTTTAGACAGTTTTGATTTGAACATGCTTGATGAAACAAACAACAGTCAGTATGATGACGTCAGTAGAAATGACGTCAGAGACGTAGACGTAAATGATTGTCAGGCAAGTGTTGAGTGCAAGGATGTTGAAGTTCCAATTGAAATAAACAATAGTGGTAGTGAACGTCAGAATGATATTTGTGACTCAATAAGTGACGTTAACGTCAACGTTAACGTCAACGGAATAAATGGCAACCAAAAGGATTCTGGACAAAATACAGAAATTAAAAACAGTGAAACTGAAAGTGATAGTGAGAAGGAGGACGGTTATAGTGTCGTAACAAGTTTCTCCGAGGGAGATAATATTGACGTCGACGTTGACAGTCATTATGATCAAAACACAGAAAATTCGACGTCTGAAAGTATTGTTGATGAAAATAACAACTGTTGTTTGTATAGTAAAGACACAGATCTTTCCGACGACGGCAGTGACAACGACGCTATCAATAATAACGTTTGTGATGAAGATATGGTTATTATTTCAAGTGACGGAGAATCTAGTGGAGGAGACAGTGACCCAGAATATCAACAAATCGAACTAGCCACGTCTCAATACAAATTCAAAGTGTGGAACTTTACATTTAGACAACGGTTATGTATACGTCAAGGACAAGAATACGTTATATTGAGTGTGACTATTTTGAGTTTGACAAATAGACAAAAATAAAATGTGTTCGGGAGTTTAATTATGTCAAAAAGACTAATATTACTTTTCAATATGAGAACAAGAATTTGAGACTGCCATGAAAAAAATTGATCTTATTTTGTATATTATACAATTTCTGTATATATTGACTTGGAAATGATATTGTTGGAAAACACTTTGATTGAAATGCTTTTGTAATAGGTAATTACTAGTATTATATCAAATTTACATATGATAGATGAATATTAACAGTTGTATAATATCTGAATACTTGAAAATGTTCTTATTACATAATAAGATTATACAGGATAAATATTGTTTAAATTTCAACACTTTAATTTGAACTTAAAACTTTGAAGTTATAGCAATGCTTTGTTTATTTCGCTTTGGTGGGAGTGTTGCAAATAGCGAGTGTATATATACAATTAAGTTATCGGAGTCAGTTGATGACCGGTTGAGTCAAGACTCCGTCGGAACATGAAAGAACTCCGTCAGAATCCGTCGGAGTCGATACTTAAATATTTCATGTATCACGAGTTTCATGCTATTTTCAGGTTAATTGTTACCTATATAAAGGGAATGAAATGGGAAGCCAGGTGGTTAGTTTGGGATTATTTTAGTTGAGTTTAGTTGTGTTAAGAGAAAATTACATGTGAGGATTATTCGGGATATTGTCTGTAAAATAAAATAAAATAATTGGATTATAAAATAAAGAAAGTTAACAAGAAATTATTGTGTTTTACTTAAAATAAAATAAATTCCAGTGTGGCAAAGAAATAGAATTCTACAGTCCTAAAACTGAAAGTTATTAAACTTCGCCACAATAGCTTTCAGGTCACTGATTGTACATTGAAAATAAAACAGGTTGTTGTTTTTATTCGTCGTCAAAATATTGACGTGCGTCGGTAGGAAGACATGAAAGAAAATGTAACAACGCATTTTCTAATTAGATAATGATAAAATATTTGATTGTAAAAACAAACTCTTAACAGTGCAAATAGTGCGTTATATTTTTAATAGAGGAACATTTTGTGCAATCTTGGTATATAGTCAGGTATTAACCAAGCTCTATTTAGTCCTGTCATTTTGCTAGCGAGGATACATCTTTCATGATGATTGGTCGAGTTCGATTTTTGTTAAAATATGAAAAACAAGATCAACAAGGAAAGGCGGCGTTCAATGAACGCAACCCCCATATGACCCAGCAACAAGAACCAATGGCAAGGAGCCCAGGCGGACCCCAAACATAAAAAGGACAGGGCAACGACACGTTAATCATTAAATGATAAATAATTTGTAACTGATTAGGAATTCAAAGAAAATAATAATAGGCCCACAAAGGGGAAGGGGACGTTCCTATGACAATACGCTAAAAGGAATATTCGGGTTTTTATTTTCTATAACTTTCTTCGTGTTAATTAATTGATGCTCCCAATATTCGAATGAATTAACAGGAAATGTAAAAAATGTAAGAAATAAACAATTAATTTATTTTGTATTCTTCTTCTTTTGCCCAAGGATTCATTTATTTGGACAAAAACGTCTTAATGTGAGACGTTCATTAATTAAATTTCTAGAACTTCGTTTTTGAATAAATTTCAACTAAACGCGAATCAGTATAAAAAATGTGTTCCTCGCAACGCAAGTTTTAGTTTCACATTTATAAGAGCAGCTTTTCAAACAAAACCTCTATGATAATCAACTAAGTTACAACCTTAACATTTCTTTTTATCTACCCCTGACAGCTAAAATTTCAGGATTTCCTGTTCGACTTAAAAGAGGGTTGATTTTGCTACTTAGTTACCAAATATCGTCGTCGTTACATTGATGTGCCGCAATATGGTCCCGCCAAAAGAATGCTGTCCGGGGAGCCATACTCGCTGACAACCAGAATGTAGCTCCTAACAAAGAGATATAAAAATATTTCATTTGGAAAATTTTATTTGGAAAATGTTCCCTATAGCACAATAATTAATAAGCATTTACTCGTATATCACACATATTAAGTACTTTTTGTTAGAATGATATCTATAACATATTAATATTACGTCATGCCTTATATACCATGTTCGTATCGATACTTTGTGTCATTCTAATCCTTATTTGAGTGTGAAACAAATATTATACAACTGAAATGATAACAATATGATTTAATAATGCACGACCATGTGTAATGTAACCAAACCGTTACAAATTATTTGAAGAAATATTTCAATTAAGCTCATAATTCCAATTTCGCTTAAATTGATTAAACTATTAATCAAGCATTTCAATTATTCATGCGAATTCCAATGATGTCATATTTATTGATCGCTATTTATAAGATCAATTATCCTTCATTTAAATGTTTAATAAGTTCCAACATATATCACATAACGTTTTACTCATCTATGAACATATACAGGTAGCATCTGCAATTTAAAAAGTATATAATGTTCTTATGAACTTATAAAAATAAATGCAAACTGCACTTAATAATAAATTCTAACTTCTGATTTTTGCATAACTTTTATGCGTAATCCTCTAATTTTGAAATTTAATGTCATAATATGAAAAACTATATTCTGTGTAACAATCTGAAAACAAGAAGAGATCCATCGAGAAAAAAGTGTAAAACAAAGTGGTTCAAACGAGAAAATTGGTTGCAAACTTTCCAAAATGGCTACCCATTCATGAATATTTACAGCACTTGCACATGTTTTCTTTAGGTAAAAGTATTTGTATGTCATGTTTTAAAAAACAGTTTTGAAGTTCACCAAACAAGACAAAATATATTTGACAATCCTGTGTAAATGTTTAACTTTGCATGTTCTTATTAAAGTTACAATACACAACAATTTTTGTCCAAGAGCTTGAAGTAAAACGTCTGTAAATGATAATAATAAAGAATTATGCTAAGAATAGAATTAAAAATCAATATTCATGCGGTTCTCATCCTTATTTGAGTGAGAATTGTCATTCCGCTTTACATTCTTCCGTCAGTTTTCTTGATAGAAATAATTATTTTAAAAAAAGAATTACATTAACAAAACACTACATCAATTGGTGAAAAAAATGCCAGACCCGACATTTTAGAAAACCAGTGTCGTCTCTTTACGTAGCAGGTCTAAAGGAGAAATGCT